AGCGATATATGGGCTCTCCTTTCTAACCTCCTGTCCGACTATCACCCACGACCCAGCCTATAGACTTAGAAACTAGTATATACACTACTTACCGTAAAACACCAAAAACAAATGCGTTGTAAGTTTTTTACAATACAGTATAGTTTATTGTGGAACAGGCTGCCAATGCCTATCCGTAACTGTGATACGTTTACCAGATTCAAAAAGCTAATAACCCTATTTCTAGACTCCAAAGAGCTTCAACATTTCCTTGAACTCCCACCCACCGATGAGGCACTTTATTACGGACCGCCTGGTATCTAGAAAGAACAAAATTATAACAAGTTTGACTGTTACTAAAATGAATATAACCAAATCACAGAATATATGGCTTATCCTTTCCCATTATTCATTGTTTATTAATCATGACTTTATGCTCCTAACCCTAGCTTTCAGTTCCCAAATCTCTAGAGGTTAAATGTACATTATTCTTCATAAAAGTCATGCCTTTTTTGTACTGCAAGTAAACAGATAGCTCAATCTTATAGATGCTGATCTACTAACGTCGATCATACAAAGCTCAAAATTTGGCCACAAAGACTTGTGAGTTTCTCAATGCTTTATTTGTCTTACCCTGAAATTATATCCTCTCATATCTTTTGATTTGCTATTAGCCCTTACTTCTTTAAACCATTAGTTATTTTCATAGCAGTGTGATATACTATATGGACATCTAACCCATAAAGCAGACTTTTCAACTATCTGATTTGCTTGTAACATAGACCTAGTAGAGACAGTGTATTCCAACTATGGGCTTAGATTAAAGCACTATTCATACTTACCACAAACGTAAGAGAGCCTAACATCACAAAAGGAGGGAGGGTGGCGTTACTGAACAGCAAACATGATGGTAAATTCAATCCACCCATGTCTGTAGGACAGAACATATTGTTTAATTACGGCTCCTTATGGTTTTGGTGGGATGTCACGAACTTATGGTATTGCTGCTGATTTATCACGCAAAATATCTCATTAAATCGTGTTACGAACGTTGAATTCGTTTCACTTCCTACCCAGTAATCCTATTAGAAGCAAACTGAACAATTCGCGAATATACGAAGCCTACTCAAGACCCTATAATACCTGGGAAAAAATAATAATAAAAAAAGAAAGGAGCTCTAATAGCTTTGATAATAAAAGGAAGATAGCCAGTTGTATATCACAATACTGTTTCTAGCACTATATTTTATTTAATAATCACACATAATCTTATACTCTCAGCTCTTTTCCGAATCGCCTCCATTTGTCAGTTGTATGTCCACTCACACCTTGTTAACATTTATTTTCTTTAACCTATTAAAATGCTCTTTCTTAACAAATACCTTAATAAAAGAAAATTAGACTGAGTAATCATACCTTAAACATTTCTTCATGAATATTGGCTATTCTGCCTCTCGTCCTTTCTTTTACTTGCTCCCTCTTTCAGCCCCTTTGTGATATGGAACGAAAGATTACATCCTGCACTATCCTCGAAGCCTTAGACATTCCAAAGGGACATAAGGTTGCGACATTTAGAAGCTCCCACCTTCATGGACCTATCCTTGACCATCAGTAGCATATTCGCAACTTTCTTGAAGCGCGTCAACCGTTGTACTGATTAAAACCATCAACATTCATATCTTATAAATTGTCAACCCAGCTATGTAATTTACTACAGTGGATATTGTATCATTTGTATCAATTTGATCTTGCCTGTAAACTAGTATGCCTCATGTAACAAACTGTTATTTGAGAATAAAATTATTATTATTATTAACTGCTTACAACAGACTCAGCAAGTCGGATCACAAGTGGGAATGTGTTCATGCTGAGTAACATCATTGTCCTATTGACAGGTCTGCGAAGTAAGTTGTCAGAAGACTTGGAAAAAGACAGTTATAAAACGAGTAGACAAACTGGGGCGCGCAATGGAAACAGGAAGATGAATGTCGACTGGTCTACCATCCATGGAGCATGCATTAGCACTAATGATGACATGTCGAAACTCAGCACCATCATTACGTCTACGGTAACCGACTCCCCCATTTAACTCGGGTCTCCCAGCTCAAGGTCTATGAATGCAACAGTGGTTCCCAAAAACTCTGTAAGTGATTGAACCTATGTTAAAAGAGCTAAAAAGGGCCAGGAGTCACCGTCTAAGCTGAACATACCAGGTGCTGTACAGAAATCAACTGGTGATTTTTTTGCACAGTCTACCCCCAAGAAGGTTCGGTCATCAAAGAGCTTAGGATTTAGAAACGTGCCTCGGCTAATGAGGATAACATTCCCATCCTCCCTTATGGCGGCTGCAACTCTGGAAGCACTTCGTACCAACAGAAGTCGGTTACCAACTGGAGTCAATGTGCACCCGCATTGGCCACATGACGCCAGGATCAAGCACAAAGGCAAGTTGGAGCTGACCATTCCACCTGTGAACTCTCTTGATCATAAAAAGCGTGTAAAGGACTGAGCCTTCCAACTCGGCAAACCTTATATAGGTAGGCTACCTGTCCATTCACAACGCTCACACAAACAAACAGAAAAAATCTCACGCCTTCCAAATTGAAAGCATAAACTGCTTATACATGAACGCCGCGAGTCTACCAAACAAAATGGATGAGCTACGTGAACTTAGCAATGCTAATAATGCTCATCTGGCTCCCCTAGGGAGGAGCTACCACACCGTCATAACTTTCGGTTTTATCACTAAAACTAAGTTAGGACAGCCCACCAAAAACAGGCAGTGGAATTTCAAACAGTTAAATGTGTCAACTCTACGGGACTATGAAAAACAGGTAGATTGGGATTTTCACCCTCAACTTGATTTGTATGTTCATTTGGATTTCTCACTGCACACGCTCTTATGTGCTACAAAGCAGTCTGTCCTTCAAGGGTCCCCAAAATCTACAATCAACCCACAGTCATCAAGAACAGCACTCTTCGTTTACTAAACCGCCAAAAGCACTGTTGGGCAGAATACAAACGAACTGACAACAATAGAGCGTACAGGCAATACAAACACATGAGGACCATATGCAGGAAGGCTATAAGAGAAGACAGGTTTCAGTACCAGAAAAAGTTTATGAACCTGGGCGCTGACTTGGTATTCCGGAAACTGAAGCACCTAAGAAAAGACACTTCCCCTGGCCCAGATATGGTCCATTCTGCTATACTGAGGGAAGCGGCCTCAATTCTGACGACACTGTCTAGCGTGATGTTCTCACACTCGCTAAGCCGAGGCAAACTACCGGAAAATTGGAGGCTGGCTCACATCACACCAATTTTCAAAGGAAGTCGACACAGCGAACCTTCAAGTTACCAACCGGTGGCTCTTCTCTCTATACCTTCAAAAATCATGGAGTCCCTGATATGCGATAGTATACATGACTATTCACTGTCCTTAAATTTCTTCTCACTCCAACAGCATGGTTTCAGGAAGGGTTACTCTTGTATAATCAACCTGCTGATTGCGGTGGACGGATCGACAAGCATCTTTGATCGCTAGGAGAAGGTTGATATCATTTACCTTGATTTCTCAAAAGCTTTTGATAGGGTTACCCATATATTTCTTATCAATAAACTCAAAAGATTGGGTATCAGACCACTTTTAATTGATTGGCTCACTTCAAATCTGAAAAATCGACACTTTAAGGGCAGGGCTAACTTCACTTCCTGTCAGGCCATGGAATGTCCTAGCGGAGTCCCCCATGGCTCAGTACTAGGACCTCTTCTTGATTTATTTAAATGATCTTCATCAACAGGTAAAGTCATACCTATTACTTTTTGCCGATGACGATAGCGGTCTTACATTTAACACTTTCTAGTGTCAAGTAGTCCATCTGCGACATGTTGCAGACTACAGTTACAACTTAAGAAACTCCTCTCTAGAAGTACCCCGAGTCAAAGAATATTTAGGAGTGTTGGCACCCTGCAATCTGAAGATTTGTTCCAACTGCGACAAAAATGCCTTTCGAGCAAACCTTGCACTGGTAATATTGAAGCGCATTTTTGGCCAATTTGACGGTAGAATTTTCCATATGATCTTCAACAGTTTTATCCGTCCCCATTTAGACTATGAAAACATAGTTTTTCCTCCCTCACGCCAAACGCATAAGGACACTCAAACTGCGAGACACAAAATCAGTTCGAGGACTCAAATTTAACCTGATGAAGAGCGCCTCCAATCACTTAACCTTTACTCATTAGAGTATAGGCGTCTTAGAGGTGACTTTCTAATGGCTTACAGTATCCTTAACACTTCTGGACATCCTCTAGAACACCTACTTAAGCTTAGTTCCAACACTAACCTAAGAGGTAACACCCAAAAACTGGAGACACAACATAGCAGAACGGACTGTAGACACAACTTCTACTCCTTAAGAGTTTTCGAATTCTGGAATTCGCTGCCGTCCGAGCTAGTCCAAGCGACTTCCCAGGAGTCATTTAAGAGGCAACTTGATCTATTCTTAAGGCCTAAGGACAGCACCATACTATGATTTCTTTTTCCTCTTTTATCGTCAACATACCTAGGTTCCTGCCTGGAGTTATTCCTAATCCCCTGCTACCAGACACGGAATCCTGTTAAGCGAAAGCTTTTATTCCATCCACAATCATTTGAGCCATTAGCAGTCGAAGATATAGATAGGAGGTATGTAGTATATCGAGAATTGTTTGATCTAAGCTGAACTGTCGTTGAGAAGGACGAATAGCACGATGATATGAGTGGATGAGTAACGAAAAACCTTCAAGCAGTGCGTGTCCAGCATAACCAATGGAGCTATAATCAATGGAGAGGTCTTAGAAGACTAGTAAATTCGAGTATTTACCTACCGCTAGATGTGATCGTCAACCTTGTCCGACATTCTACTAAACAAGAAACCAAATCTTAAAGCATTATTTTTGTAGTAATAAATGTATTTTTGTTTATGTTGTACTACCGTTATGGATTCATTTACTATTTGTGACATGAAAATTGTTAAAACGTTCGTAAACACCAGAGGCATATTTGAAGTCTGTATATCACCCAGTCATGTTCTTAAGTTTTCGTCGATTATATAGTCGACTTAAAGACTAAAAATAGATATTTTCTTCAAATAACTGAAATCAGGCGAAAAAGTAGACATTTAGATTCTCTTGACGCTGTCTTTCCCGTTTTCCTTTTTCGTTTGCATGGGCCGTATACGGTCCAGTGTACTGGTAATTGTTTAACAACAATTAAAATAAAATGTCAGCTCCTAGTAATGTGATGCTTATTATAGTTCGGATAAGTTAGTCATTTGTTTTGCACGGCTTTTTATTTGCTGTAAAATTAGAGTTATGTATATGAAGGTATAATTAGCCAGTGTGTAACTTCAAGAAGCAAGAATACATAAAGATCGATGCTGTGTTATTTCTACTAAGCTCACTAATTTTGACCACTGCCTAGATCGTTCAAAATAGGATTCTAACTGAAAAGCTTTCTTAAAGATTTGGACAGATGTTTACTTTATTTATTCACATGAACTAAATATTTCCTCGGATGCGTTCAATTTCTGTCTGGTGTAATTAACGTAATAAAGTGGCAAGTTAGTAATGAAAACTAGTTGCTACAACTAATGATAACACTCAGATCTTATGCTTGCTACCAGCAGCATTTTGGAAGCGGTCTGTGAGTAGGACTGCTGACCAAGCCTATTAATCCGTCTGAAAATGTCTTTTTTAAAAAGAGGATAGTCAACATAAAAATCCATATTCGCTCATCAAAATCGAGTTTGCTAACCAGTGTTTTTACGACTCTCGGACAGTTAGACGTCTAAAATACAATAGTCATTTTTAAACCATTGGTGAGATGGTTCATGTCTCATTTTCATCTGTCCCAGATCAAACCATATCATATTAGAACAATAAACAAGCCTTTATAACAAATCAGTGTATTGTAATAATGGTCCGAGTATACAAGTCTTTCGTATTTTAGATAATTTGTGTCTCCGTAAAGTCCTATGTTTCCGGTTTAGATAATTAACAGAAAGGTCTAGTTACGTCTTACTCTGATGAAAATCATTATGTAATGACTTCATGAATGTATTGTACCAGTATGGCTAAATTAGTTTAATTTGTATAATCGAACTCTATCGTTTGAGATTCTCATTCCTCACGGCTCTGTCATGAACAGGATACCTGGAAAGAACAAGACCGGGAAAGACAAGAAGTAATCCAAATAATCATGCTCGTAAAGGTATTTGTTGTTTCTTACTTATAATTGGTTTTTAGTATGCCTTGTAAGTTTAGCCAGTATTAAACAATCATTTACCAGAGAAGTATTTGTGATTAATGTGAACTAGATCTTTAATCTACTTGGTAACGATCTGGGTTCGATAGTTCTTATCGGTTTACTTTGTTGGTTTCCTTCACATTTCAGGACATTAATGTACTTGTTTTCTTTCCCCTTTAACTGTGTCTATTGACCTATAAGTAACATTCATCTTTGTCGGTCAAAAGGTCGTGTATTATTAATAATCACTGGTGTTCGTCACCTAAAATGGCTATGTTAAATTGTTCCCATCAGGGACGTCTACCACTCGCATCCTTCAAATTTTACATGGATATACTGCTGGGGGGGGGGAAATGTATCATCATCTGTTTTCGTTGGTCCACATTTCTATGGATGAAGATGCTGAGTGTTTATTTCTTTTTGTTCCTGTATCACAGTGAAAAAGTCCTTAAATTGCTTATATCCATCAGACAGTAGTTCATGGAACCAGAAGTAACTTAAAGGTCACAATTATCTTTTATAATCTGATTTCAGTCCCTACTACACCTACTTTAGCTTTTTCAGCTGGTATGTATCATCATAATAAAGAACTCAAAGCAGAGTAAATAAACTTATATTTCGTTACTATTCCAGACTAACCTATCAACAAAGGTAGTAGGCTACTCTCCTTATCGTCAGTTTCATTGCCACTGGTCAATTTGCGGCCGTTAGTATTAAGTCGCGCACATGAAAATGCTTGGGTTTTTGCAGCCTTTGCCACCTGTGGCACTAGAACTATGCTCAACCACCCATCAGAGAGGGCACGCTCCATTATTGTCTGCTCGGTATTCACGTGTCAAAAAGTTTAGATACAAGAGTTATTCATCATTCGATGAAACTGTTGATACAGATTTATTCACTTTTTGTCTTCTCTTCCATCATGAGCTTCCGAATTATCATATCTGTTATTCTTTGATTTAACTATTTCTCCAATAATCTCTTTGACTTATCTTTTTTACTATCGCTAATACTACCGTTACCTCTAGTACTTTGTTATTCCGGTGACTGCGGTGATTTGGTGTGGCGAATATGATCAATAAACATTTGTTACAGGATTATGAGTTATTCCTAACTAACTGAATGACTCTATCTTAAATTCGCTGAATACGTGCATGCTTTCCAAACCTTGTTTCGGTCCACATGTGCTACAACAAAAACACATAAGTATGTCATCTTCTGTATAACGTTATTTCACCAGAAAACGATGATGATACGATTTGGGATGCTATTATTCCTCTTTCAGTCATTAATTGTGATTAAGTTGTGTCTTGTAGTTTGGGTTCTTTAAAAATGTATTTTTATAGCTTCCATTAGAGGTAATCCAAAGGAAGACCATTTAAGCAGTCAGCGATAACTAGTTGCTGAATACGTATCCATCGTGGGAAATAAAAACATTCTGATTCTCAAAAACCACGAATTGCAATGATTCGTGAGAATGAAAATTATTGTAGAAATATGTATTAGGTTGATGTAAATGGTTTCATTTTTGTAAATAAATCCAGGTCTTTTCTGTAAAAAAGACCTGTCAACTACGTTTTTGCAACTAACGTTGATGTGCGTCATCAAAATATATTAACATCTAATTTATCAAAAAACTCCCCAGTGATGTTAGTTGTAATGAGGGTTTATCGGTTAACAACCTTTGATCATATTTTTAAACTCCTTAATCAAATTTATCGGTGTACTGAAGATTGCTTGATTTCCTTTTTTTGTTACGTAATTCATTTTGTTTGTGAATGCGGAACCAATAAATTGCTTTACGTTGTCAGATTATCGAGGTTTCAAAGTACTACAGGAATAATGTCCACACATTTGTTTTTTCATTTGTGAGTACTTTCGACTGTTGCCCGCTACGGATTCACAACATTTTTCGAGTCTGTACTTTGTATAATTAAATAGAAATCGCAGTAACTATTTTGTGTGCTAATCGAGATTGTTTCTAACACATGTACGTACTAGTTTAGGATCGATCAATTCCTTATTCATCTTTCCAATTTTTATTTTAGATGTGCTATCATAATTTTCTTATACCTTACTTGTGGTGTGCAACTAGTCATCGTTTCTTTACTTAAGTTGAGTGCATGATAGTACCATAATCGCCGAAAAACTTGGTATATCATATCAAAATGATGACTATCCGTCTGAGTACCCATGGGTGGTGTGTGCTGATTATAAGCATTTTGGTTATCCTTCTGTACTATCTGTCGTCATTTAATCCTATCGGACATCTTAAAGGGGAAGTTACCAGTGTTCGAAGATTGTTAACTCACTGCATACATCTTTCCGAAGAAGCTGGTGGTCTTATAAAATTTATTAGTTTGAAGCATAGCCTTAATTCACGTACCAAACACGGGGGTATGCTGAAGCGAGAGCCTCTGACAGATGCGGACCTGGGATCTCATCAAATAATCGTGTCGGGTTTGACCTCGGCTTTTCCAGAGCTACTAGTACGTTCTAAAGTTTGCCTATTTGTATTTATTTATTTTATTGTTGCTTCAATTCTTTGTAAGCATTAAAAATCCTTTTGGGACTTATATCAATTCGCTTCTCATTTAGGCTACTATGTCTACCAAAATTGTAGATGGTATTTTTCTACCACTTCCCTGTGAAATGCTTTTAGCAATTGGATGAAGTAGTAAATAATATTCAGATTTGTTACTAACGGCATAACTGAACTGATCAACTTTCTAAGGTTTTCCACGTGAATGTTATTTACAGTAAATACGATATATGTTATGGTTTCTATCTGAATCATTGTGGATAACTGCCAAAGTTGCAAACATTTTTAATATAACAACAAGCATTGGTCGTATTGTCATGACGTTCGTCAATTAAATGTGAGTAGTGATATCACTACTACATATATTTAAAATGAGAATTCACATATCCTTATTAACGAAACTTAGTACTAGATCTTAATTTGGTTTTTCACCTTTCACTTATAACCTCAAATGATTTAAACACATAAGACAAAGTGTTTGGAATGGAAATGAGTCATGCTGATCTTAACTTATTGGGCTTGTGTGAGTTCATTGACTCAGGCTGTACATTACTACTTAGTTCTTTTGTTTGTAGATTCAGATCTAACTTTTTATGTACATGATTTAGAACACTTACTGTTATTTATGTTACAAATAGATATGCAAGAGTAGTTTTGGTGAACATTGTGTCCACACCTCATAGCGAACATTTTGTATGACATATTTTATTATTTATTTATTTGAACACATGAATATTGGTACAAGAGAGCGCTAATATATATGCGCCACACAAAACAATGAGAATTCGAAGAGAAATAGAAAAAAAAGCTAAGGAGCGCAAAAAAAAGAACAATAACGAGGAGATTGGTGTAAGGTAGTATGGTAGAAATGAGGGAACGGAAAGGTACAATCAGAAGAAATCTTTCAGGTAAGGGAGACACAACCACTTTTTATGAAGAAAGTAAAAAAAGGTTACAGCAGGATCGCCACTGGCTTCTATTCTGAGCCATATCTGATAACGTCTCTAGCCACTGTGTTGCACCATCTCTCGGACCCCAACCAGGGAGTCATGAAGGACCGACAGAAGCCAGTCTTTTACAGCTTTCTTTCATACCACGACACCATGTCATGCACTGACCACCTCTCCGCTTCTTCCAACCAGTCCCAGAGTCGGCAAATAATGCACGACGTGGAATTCTCTGAGACGACATTCGTAAAAGGTGTTCAAGCCATCGAAGTCGATGTTTCAAGATGGTGACACCAATTGGATTATCATCTCTGTGCCCGAACACACGATGCCGAACTTCTGCATTACTGACATGGTGTTGCCACTGGATGTCAGCAATCCTTTGGAGACAGCGATGATCGAACACAAAGAGTCGTCTAACGTCCTCAACTCGGAGGCCAGGTTTCACAAGCATAGAGCAGAACTGCTCTCACCGACGCGTTGTAGATCCGACCTTTTACAGCCAGACTAACATCACGAAGGCGCCAAAGATAGCCCAGATTGGCATAAGCCGCTCTGGCTTTCACTATACATGCATTGATCTCATCACTCACACCCCCACCAGCACTTATGCAGCTACCCAGATACACGAACTTCTCGATTACTTCTATCTGCTCACCATCCAGAGTGGGTACAGGATTGGAATCCTGCCAGTGTTGTAGAAGTACTTTGCACTTCGAAGGTCCAAAGCACATACCATACCTACGGACACTGATTGCCAACTGATTAAATGCGGATTGCATGGCTTGAGCATTATCGCACAGTAAGACAACATCATCCGCATACTCAAGGTCGAGGAGTCTTTCTCCAGGCAATAGATCCACACCACCATTACTTACATCCATCAGAGCTGTTTCCAAAGTGTCATCGATGGCAAAGTTGAAGAGGAATGGTGAGATTGGGCAACCCTGCTTAAGCCCACTGCTTGAATGGAACAATGGAGAGAGGTGGTTGTATGCCCTTACTCTGCCTGAGGTGTTTGTATATAGGGCTTTCAATATGTTAATAAACTTCTCAGGCACACCCTACTTCAATAGACAATCCCAGAGAACAGTCCTGTTCAACGAATCGAAGGCAGCCCTGGTGTCAAGAAACACTACGATTGTTGGCCTTTGATAAGTATGGCGGTGTTCTAACATTTGGCGGAGGGTAAAGATATGATCAATACATCCTCGACCTGAACGAAACCCAGCCTGCTCCTCGCGAGTCAATCTTTCTCGGGTTTTGAACAACCTACGAAGTATGACGGAAGCCAATATCTTGGACGCAATCGGAAGTAGAGTTATCCCCCGATAGTTGTTACAGGAACGACGTGAACCCTTTTTAAAGATAGGGACAACTATCGACTCATTCCATGACGTTGGTACACTCTCTAGTTCCCAAACCTTTGTAAACAACGTCGTCAATTCCTTAGTCAAAAAGTCACCACCATCTTTAAAAGGAGCCGGAGGTAAGTCATCTGGGCCAGGTGATTCGTAGCGCTTCAAGAGTTGGAGTTCCTTGCGGACTTCCTCCTCGTTTGGTGGATCAGTCGTCATCGGCCATGGAGGGCAGGACAGTCTGACCGATGTTGCCGGAGCAGCAGGTCAGTTGAACTGCCCTTCGAAAAATTCTGCCCATCGTCCAAGACGTCGATGGATGTTAGTGATTGGCATCCCATCATCCTCGTAGATTGTTTCGCTCACACCAGACTTCTTGCTGCCAGTGGCTCGGATGAGTTGGAAGAACTTCCGGTAGTTACCAGATGCAGCTGCTGCTTCCAGCTCATCAGCATACTCCGACCACCAGGTTTCTCGGTCCTTACGCAAGCTTTGCCCAATTTCCTTACCTAACATCCTTCGTTTATGGTCAAACTCACGGTCACCCGGAGTAGACCGACGGGCTTCAATGAGTTGTAAGGAACCTGCAGAAACTCAGTGCTTATAAGCGGGACGTTTCGCGGCAGTCTTGTACACAACCACGCCAGCGGTAGCTGATCGCGATGTGATCAATCTGAGTCCAGGCTTGAAATGCAGAGTGAGGACGCCAGGTGGCACATCGGTGATGACTGTGCCGAAAGTTAGTGCTAGCCAGAAACAGGTTGTGGTCTGTGCACAGTTGCAGTAGACGGTTCCCGTTATCTGTCCTGCGACTAACAAGTCCCCATCGGCCACCCAAACGACTCTCTTGTGTGCCTAGACTCCCGACCTGAGCATTCAAGTCTCCGGCTAGTACTACAATATCTGTCGAACGCACTTTCTGGAGAAGAACAGATAACTGGTGGTAAAACTCATCCTTGATTGCATCCGGGCTGCAATCTGTCGGGGCATGGGCGGAGATGACGAAAAGACATTGTTTCTCACGCCGATTTCTTCTCACTTTGATGGAACTCTCTAATCTAACAGCACATAACCGACTGTTAATGGGGTCCAATCGACTAGTGCTGCCTCAGCTCTAGCGCTTAGTGCGACACCGACGCCAGCAAGACCAGACGAAGATGCCACGGGATCCCCGGATAAGCGCACGTGAAACAAGCTTTTTGAATCGACAGATGGAGATCGAATTTGTAGTACTTCGCCAGAGTCTTGAATACGGGTCTCGGGCAGACAACAAGCATCAATATTAAGACTTTCTAAAGACATAGCCAGCCCTATCTGTTGTCCGACCTGCATAAATGTGCGAACGTTGAAGACAGCCAGTTTGAATGGTGCACGTGGTTTCAGAAAAACTGCTTCAGTACTCATATTCGGTGGTAACATACAATTTTTAACCGGACAGTGACACGAGGACGTTTAGATACAGTCGAATTTACACCAAAGACGAGTCGTTGTATAAGTATAAAAGAGGTCGAATAATGTGGAAAATAATATTAGTAATAATAGTGACAATAATAGTAGTAATAATAATAGTATTAATAATGACAATAATTGTAATGATAATAATTTGAATCAATTGATTGTTTTTCGAAGCGAGAAAAGTAATTTCCATAGACATAGAGAGTTTATCATTTGTGTGTGGGCTGTGATACTGCCTGGGTGCCCGAACCGAAGCAGGTGGTTATCTTAGAGGGCCACTCCCCGAGCCTTTGACCTAAAGGTCTAACCCACAAGGCAGTGAAGCATCGTAAGGAGATGCAGTCCCCTGGTAGCCGGTGACCAACGAGTGGTTCATACGTCGTTTGTTCCCGCAGGATACTGGAGCTCATGTGCACCATTGGTTTGTGATCCGGTTAAAGCGCCGGACATTCGCTTTTCGTCCTCTTATTTTCGTAAACAACACCCCCGCCACGAGAAGCCAGTGAGTAGGACTTCCCTGGTAGAGGCTATATACGCGTGGCCATGTGAGAGTATTTCGAGAGGGAGAGCGAACTCTCCCGCTCTCGGCCGTACCAGGGCATTAGGGGGCATGACATATTTTGGCCTATGTTTTCCACATAAGTGACGTCTGTCAAATTAAGTCATTATTTTCTCTCTCCAACTATTGAAATAATTCTCTAAATTCAATCATTTGTTAAACTGAACGTTACTTCAAGGTATTTGCATTAATAATCTTCATTTATCATATTGTATGTAGTAATCTCACGCTATGGTTATTTTGAACCTCGTATTTTCCTGATAAGCTAATGTTATTAGTTTCTAATTGCTCTTTAATTTTAAAAGTCCTGGTGAATCAGTGGTTTTGTAATTTTCTTCTCTAGGTTCGCTCCGAAGAGCATGAATTACCAACACACCGTCTGTTTGATTATAAAGAAAGTGTTTATCATTCGGATTTTCAAAGTTCTCTTCCTAATGATGATCTTTTTGTGCCTATTACAGATTTGGTGATATGGGTAGATCCCTTAGACGGAACTCAAGAGTATACAGGTAAGATAGTTTGTTCGTCACTTTTACTATGTAAAGGATTATTGACTTAAAGTTGTGGCTAAATGTCTACTCTCCAATGTCATTGCAGAAGAATTTACTTTTCGGAGCATCACAATATCTGAAAATAGACGTTTAAAGTCAATTTTTTAGAATGATCTCATTACTTTTTTCGTTCGCTTAGTAAATAAGCGTTTATCAATCCTTCAGTCACTTCATATATTCTCGCTTTAGTAAAAGATATTGTGTTTATTGTTTATTGAACTGTCAAACTGTAATTAACCTTAATGCACTTCATTTTTATCTCTTTCTTAAAAAGACAATTTGTAGTCTTTGAGGTTTAAAATTGTCATAATTTTAGGAGTATTGTTGTTTTTATGCTTGTCTATGACATTTTTAATGTAGTCCCAACATGTATGCTACAATCATTGATTATGGGTCTTCTTTGGTCCGCTTCAAACACAATTTATCGATTCTTCCAAACTCCCTTTTTACATTATTACAAACAATTTCTTCGTGATTCTCACCTGTAGTTACTTCGGGTTAAGGAATCCGGTCGTACTCAGCACTAAAGCATGGATCACAAGAATCTCCTTCAATCGATTAGCTTATTTTAATGATCCCGTCTGCTTTAAAAAAGTTTATGTGAAGTATATAAGGCTGTTAGATAAATAAGACTAGAAAATGGATTGTGTCTCAGTCAGTCAGTCAGTAACAACGTAGAACTTCGTACGTACGTACATCAGTTCGAGTTGCCACACCACATTAGCACAGAGATGCACTTGTCGATTCAAATCCCGTAGTGGTAGAGGTAATAAGAGTATGAGCAGTAATCAGAAAAACTAGTGTTTGGAGATGTTATTTAAAAAGTATAATACAGTGAAATAAATTTGGGAAGAGAAGAAAAAGACAAGGAGGAATAAAGAGATCAAAAATTGGGAGAACACAAAAAGTGTATGCACCTGCGCCATTGCAAACGATTTTGAGCCATGTCATTCAGGGTCTCTAACCATCAGTTGCTATCATCTCGCGGTCCCCAACCAGGTAGTCTACACCTACCAACATAACTCAGTTCACTTGTCAGTGACTTCATGGACTTGTGCCATGTTTTGGTTTGGCCGCCCCTAGCTTTCTTCCAACCTACTCCTATACCACTGAACATAGCACGTTGAGGCAGTCGGTCGTTGAGCATACGTAACACGTGTCCCAGCCATCTCAACTGATGAAGTTTCAATACTTCATCAATTGATTTGCCATCCTTACCTATTACCCGTTTCCTAACAACTGTGTTACTTACTCGATGGTCCCGCGATATACGAGCAATATTTCGAAGACACCTATGATCAAATACTAGTAGCCTACGAATATCCTCTACTCTTACCGGCCGTGTTTCACTGCCAGAGAGTAGGACGGAACGAACTGCTGCGCAGTAAAAACGTCTTTTGGTTGATAGACGGATATCTCGTCTACGCCATAAATGACGCAAGTTGGCAAAACTATTCGAGCCTTCTGTATCCGTGCTGAGATTTCGTCACACACTAAACCACAAGGGCTGATGAGACTTCCAAGATAAGTGAAGCGATCGACACGCTCAATTACTTCACTCCCTATCATTAGTTCGGGTGTCAATGCAACTCAATCCTGAAGCAAAATTTTGCATTTTGAGGGGGAGAATCGCATCCCAAGCATGCTTGCATTGTTGCTTAGAGTGGTCAGAAGACTCTGCATTTTGTCAGCGTCTTCACTAAATAGAACTATGTCATCTGCATATTCTAGGTCAAAAATTGAATTTCCCAGTAGAAGTTCAACCCCTGGAAAGTCAGATGAGGAAAGTGTTATCACTAAAAGTACGTCGACGACAAAGTTGAACAAGAATGGGGAGAGTGGACAGCCCTGACGAACACCACTTGAGGTGATCATTTCTGATGACAGTTCGCCATAAGCTCTCACTCTACCAGTTGTGTTCGAGTAGAGAGCCTTTATAAGGTTAATGTACTTCTTTGGTACTCCTTTCAGTAACAAAGTGCCATAGAACCTTACGAACAACAGAGTCGAATGCCGCCTTAAGGCCGAGAAATACTACCATTGTGGGACGTCCGAATGTGTGTCTGTGTTCTAGAAACTGACGTAGTGTGAATATCTGATCTATACAACCACGTCCAGGTCGAAAATCAACCTGATTTTCTCTAGTCTGCTCTTCACGAGCTTTGGTTCGGCGTCGAAGTATTATTGAAGCTAATATTTTAGACACTATATTAGTCAAACTGATTCCTCTGTGATTGTCACAAGAAGACTTTTGTCCTTTCCTGTGGACTGGGACAATCAGTGATTGAGACCAATCAGATGGGATTACGTGCAGTTCCCAAATTCCACCTAAGACCTCAGTTAATCTCACTGTTAATACTGAACCACCATCCTGAAAAATCTCAGGAGTAAACCTGTCAGGGCCTGCTGCTCTCCCTCGCTTCAGATTTCTTATGGCTTTTTCAACTTCGTAAAGGGACGGAGGACTTACATTAACTTGCCATTCAGGTTGACTAGAGATCGTGGGAAACCGAAGTGTGGCTGAAGGCCAGTTGAACTGATCCCTAAAGTTTTCTGCCCATCGATCCAATCTCCTGGATTGAGAATGTATAATATGTCCATCTTTCTCTGAGATTGTTTCGCTAACAGTCGGTTTCCTAATTCCGGTTTCCTTAACAAGTCTGAACAATTGTGTGCTATTACCTATTGCCGCTGCCTTTTCCATCTCTCTTGCTTTCGCTACCCACCACTGTTCACGGTCATTGCGTAGACTTCTTGTCAGCTTGCGCTTAGGCTGACTCCGCTCTTCATTTGTTTAGAGACAGTCGGAATGAGTTTCCGAGCATCTTTCAGTGCGATAGATGCTGCTGAGATCCAGTGTTTCTCCCTAACCTTGTAGTTTACCTTACTGGCAGATATCACTGCTGTTTCCACAGCTTTTCGGATATCATTCCATGCTGCCTCGGGGTGGGCATCACATACATGGCTGCCTAACTGTTTTTCTAGTTGTTCCTGAAATATACTCTTAGCTTGACTATCATTAAGTAGGACCCTAAGAGGTTTCCTTGCAGCGTCTTTCCTACGTCCAGTAAGACGCAGACAGATGCGCGCTCGTACTAGAGCATGATCTGAATCTAAGCATGTGCTCCAGAATGAGCGACATCCTTCTATTGAGCCCCTCCATTGGTGGCTGATAGCGGTGTGATCTATTTAGGTCCAACGTTGAGACGAATTAGGGGGATTGTGTCTCACTTTTTGAAATTCATCAATTGAGTCTTTGGTTATAGCTTAACCTAAGTAAGTGTCCTATATTTTTTATAATAAATCCCTTTTTCGTATTTATGACATAAGAATACGTTCTGAATTTCCCGTTGAACACTTAGTTGAATGTGGTACTGAGTCACAATCATTTACAGAGTAAGATCACTAATACTTATTTATTGTTTGTAATAAAATTTTTAACGTGACTGTCATTATGCTACGATATACGCTGTAAATTTATACCACGTAGTATGTCACTTTACGTACACTGATATTTTTGGAGTTCCCATCTTCACTTAAGAAATTGTCTACCAAAATGACACACTCTCATCTGTCTTATTTTATTGTGATTGATAAGAGTTGTTCAAAACGGAGTCTTTTTGTAGCAGAACTTAAATGTAAAAAAACAATTTCAACTAACAAGTCAATTGTTCCTAAAATTCTTTCACCAGTTTTCAGAGAACCGGTTACAAAAGCTTATCGAACAGAAACTGAATTATGTACTTTTTTTCTCAGCAACATATGGTACTATAGAATGTGTTGCAAAATGTCAAAGTTTCTGAGTATAGTTAATGGTAATGACTGCAAGTTTAATATTGGAAGACATTATATTAATTCTCATTAGAATCAATCGCTTTTGTAATTTTTAAGGGTATTGGTAGTGAATATTAAGACTACATCGCAGTAATAGTTCTTTTAGTTGATAAACTATATTTATGGACCAAAAGATTTTCACCAGCACAGACGACAGCCAGCCAACGGTTTTTGTTTAAAGCTATATTGCGTTAATTATTTTAATAATTGATTTTCTAAACGTAGAATACTCTCGTATTGATTTTATTTGTAACTATAATACTTTGTTGTGAGCATACTTCAATCTAAGTAATTCGGTGTGATTCCTCTTTGCATAGAAAGCTTTTTACATAGGCATTTTAGATTCAGATGGTTTGTTGAATTAGTTTCACCAGAAAGTACTTCGCCTTTAGTGAAACGATGATTGCTTTTCGTTTCTTAGATGAGTTAATCAGAATTAACCATGTGATTCGTCATATAGAAACCTAACTGAGCTGAATGGGTAAGAATGACACAATGTTTGAATGAACTACAATATGCATGACTCAATTACCAACTGACATAGAAGGTAGAAAAATACGTATTCTAGTACAAGGAGCTCTATTAGTCACTTTTATACAGTCCATAGATGTTTGTGTCCTTCCTCTGGTTAACAGAATGATGTGGATTGACCTCCCTTCAACCAATCACAGTATCGTGAGTGTGAGCGCACCAGTTACTTTTCCGCATCTTTACCTTTTTTGTTTATGTATATATCTGATTAATATATGTACCATGTAACTATTTCTCACAGTTTATTTTGTCTTATTTCTGAATGTGCTATGGTAGAAGGCTTAAATGAATATGTTAGCGTCATGATATGTATTGTACTTCATGATCACCCAATAGCTGGTATTATCCATCAGCCATTTCTTAACAAAACATGTAAGTTTTGGTTTCGTATATCGTCAATTTTTCTTGGTTTCGTTTTCTGTGATTTTGTGGTGCGTGCTACTTATATTGACATGAGTAGTATATAACGCGAGTCAGGAATGTAATGTCTGGTATCAGAAGATTGGGAAGATCAAGAAAGGAAGAATGGGAATAGAAAGCAATTAGTGTGGAAATGCAAGAACAATGAAGTCCGAGACAATTACTGAACATTTTGCAAATTAAGTATTATAGCATGGTTTTTCTATTTTACCAAGTAACTGTAATTTTGTGCCAAACATAGTTCGATTGCACTCATCTGCGTTTTCCTTCACTACAATTTAACTAACTATTAGTGCATATATAATACATATTTATGGATATATGGAAACATAGAATGTGTATTTAAGTATGGGAGATGATTAGTTGACAAACAATCATGTGTATGACCTGATTTCAATCATTGTTGATTTTCCAGTTAAGTTACGGTATCCAAATGCTTTCGTCGTCTCCATTTTACCCAATCGTTTCGTATTGTACTCCTTGTTAGCTCATCTATAAACTTTGTATCATGAGCTACTAAGGCGAGTTTTTTTTTTGAATATAGTCCATACTGAATTTAATTAAATCGGTGAAGCAGATAATTTTATATAAAATGAAATGAAACATCGCTGTTTAATCTAATTTTTGGCTACTTTCTCACGCTTCGTGAAAATTTTTAATTCACTTTTCAAACATCTAAAATCCAGCAATATAGTCTTGTGGCTACAAACGGACACATATTCTGATAAGACTTTATAGCAGCTATTTATTTGCACAAAACCGAATTCTAGACTTTTGTTTCAAATGTGATATATCTAAAGACTTGAAAGTACTAAATCAAAGGTCAATACCCCAACTTCATGCGAACTAGTGTACTCAGCTATCAGTCGTCTTGTTTAGCAACCACCAATATTATACTGATGTTCAGATTGGAGTAGATGACCTTAATTTAGACTTGTAATCGGGCATCGGTGTTCAAAAAGTTAATCCTGTTTAAAAATGAGAGAATGACGGGTACCTTGTTGTGATATCCTTTTAGTCCGTTAACCGACATTTATAAAAAAACCAATATACTGCTTCGTTTAACAGCACATACTATTTTAAGTGAAGTAATAGATTTCACGTAATTATTTCAGTTAGGTAACCACATTGATGCTCATATATTGTCTGAAAGGTTTTTATTTATATTGCCTGGTTGCTTGGATTTCAATAAATAAATGAACCCGAAAAAGTAGTTGTAAACGTATTCAGCAAACCAGAAAAGCTCGTGAATGATAAGAGATGTTTGTCTTTGGGATATTTACTACATCTTGGTATCATGTTTTATTTGGGCAAACTATATTGTCTATAATTGCTGACGAATTTATCCTCTTGTGTATTTTGTTTACTAACTCATCTACCAGGTACAGATTTATGCACTTGGCTTTGAGCTACATTTTAAAGGGCTTGTTAGTAATACCCGGTTGTCCAAATCATGGTAGGTGGAGCGGAGCTCGAACCTTTGCTGCATTGACTGAAGGTCGAGTGCCTTATCCAGTAAGCCACCGCTCCTCTTGTCTAGTTATTGTTGATATTTATTAGTGGTTAATAGTTACTCTCATACATAAATCATGATAAGTTGGGAGTCGGTGGGGTGTCTTTTCCTGTTTTCTATTGATATTGTGCTTTTGTTACTGGCGAGTGATATTTTTCTCATCATATGATTTTTAGAAGCCTGTAGTTTGATTTTGTCCTCATTTAGATCGGCGATACTCGTTGGAGGGCTCACCACTTTAGTGGCCCGTGGTTCTCGAATCCATTTCAGATTGTATGGAAGATGGCTGGAAAGCCAACTCCATTTTAATTAAGCGTTACTCAGTATTTATAGGCAGACAAAATAAGCTACAGACATACAATGAGTCATGGGACATGAAGTGTACACATATACGCTCATGTGAAAACAGCCAAGGCTAATAAGCGAATAATTGACAAGGTCAAAATATGGCTCAAGTAAAATGAATAAAATAGGATGTCCGGAAGTTAGAATAAAGGTATATGGGCTTGCCATAATAACTGACACTACAGATTCTCCTCCGAATCAGGAAAAAACTGGTCATGTATACTAAGGCTTCCATTCTGTGGTAGTTCATAATTACAACGCAGTGTATTTGTGTCTGTCGATAAATAAACACCTCTGGGAAGATTTATGAATCCAGTAATAGTCTTCTGTACACTAATTAAGTAGTTTTATGGGAAAAAATTTAATAATTCACCATCAAGTTTCCATCGTGTGATTATTAGTATGCAATCAATTTACGCATTTTCATGTTGCTCCTAAGAGTATGAAAATGATGTTATACCCAACATTTTCGTAAATTGAGTTTATTTGATGGTTCGGATTATCTATATCGTCTTATTTTTATCTAAGTATCCATCACTTAAATGGGAGATTTAAATGACTGGAAAGGTTCTTGACTCTACTTTGGATATAAGTATATAGGTTTTTCGAATATAAGTCTCAATAATTACATTCGTTACAAGGTAAAATTAGGAAATATTTCTGCTTATCATAAGTTATTGATTCAAATGAATTTATCTAAAACGTTTGAAATTAAAACAACCATATTCTAGTAAACTAATTGTCATCAAAAAAGGATCTTGTAAATTATGCAAATTGTACTACTAGTCTTCAAATATAGTAGTTTTTCGCCAAGAAATTTTCTTTGGATTAGGGAAAACCGTATATTTAGTTGGAAAGATTACTTTTCAAATTCTTTATCTTAATAACTGTTAAATTAGATCTTAAATATTCGCTTCGAAATATTTTAATTCTTCGACGCATGGTAGTTCATTTGATAGATATTTTACTCACTCGATTAGTATATATTATCCTAATTTTGTTTCATCATAGACTGGGGTTGGGGTTCATATGCATTATCATCTGATTTACAAATGGCTGTAAATTCTCGTCCTGTTCATTCGTTAAAAAACGATTTGTCGATTACTTATTCACGTTCACATTTAAACGAATCACTCATAAAAGATTTGACCAAACTTGTATATCCGAAACCAGTTCATTTTATACCTGCAGGTGGTGCGGGTAAGTAATACTTCTATTTTTTGCTTACAAATAGATTATTCGACCATAATAATGATAAATGTTATAAATACATATTACATCTGTTAATTTTTTTATAATTTGTTATATACCAGATCTTAGTAAAAATATAATTTTACGGTTTATAGGCTTAAAGTTACTTATATATAGCTCAAAAGCCCATGGTAATCGAAAACAACGAAACAATCTTAATTTTGTGAAGAACATTAACCGTGTCGGGTGTGGTAAAAAAACGCTGAAAATATTTATTTCATCCCCTTCGGAATTACGTACGATTGTTTTAATAGAGCGCAATAGAAAACTACATTAGTATGTCTATCAGCTTCTGTTTTTTATGCACTTTTAATAACTTATCAAGCCACTGATTTGTGATTATTACTTCATTCAAACATTCATAATAATCCGACAGATACGAACCAAACTTTACCATCTCCACTTTAACCAGTTGATATGAACCTTCCGCTACGTGTAGTTTCATTTTACCTATGAAGTAACTGTCGTTACTGTTATACTCCCTGCGAAATTACGAGTAACTTCTGAGAACTATTAGTGGACTAATATTATATATATTCTTATTGTATAACTATATTTATATTCCTCCTGTTATGAGCTTCATTTTGACCTATAGATTACTATTATACGATTTACTATCCTTAAATTATGTTCAGCTTATTGATTATTGTCTCCAACGTTCGCAGCCACTTTTGGCTTGACCAATAAAGACTCTAGGTTGCTCATACCGGTCGAACATCATTGGTTTCGCACAGTACTAAGACTGAATAAGTCGTACTTCAATTGGCGAATAAATCACGTGATAATAAACCGGCCTTAAAGTCACAAAAGTTACTCACTAAATTAGCCCTATAAACAAACTTCTGAGTAGTGGTGTTCAAGCATCCGGTAGACTTGCCTTTGTCGGTATTTACTTCTCAGAGGTCCACAAAATTATTTGATTGGCATAGCGACAAACGCGTTAGTTTAACTATTTTCCTAAGCACCATCCCAAATATTCCATTTATTTCGGAAATTTTCTATTAAACAGATCGTACATACTATTTACACAATAACCAGACATTCATCTGCTTGCTAATCTTCTAATACTGAACAACATTGCGAAATTTTTTATGACTGGATTATCTGACGTTAAATAGAAGTCTTTGATTGAGATCTTGAACCAATTGATGTTAGACCATCACAATTGAAAACCTGGAAGCACTGGACGGCCGTTTCGTCCTATTGTGGGACTCGTCAGCAGTGCGCATCCACGATCCCGCGAGCGGGATTCGAACCCAGGGCCTTCGGTCTCGCGCGCGAACGCTTAACCAACTGGACCACTGAGCCGGCATCCAATGGTGATAGTTTCTAACATCAACCAATCCACGAAATTGCGCGACCAACTTCCATTGTACCTAAGTAGATAACTGTCTCTACCCGACAAGGATTAGCTCCACTGGTCACGGCTTCTCACTAGAACTCCGAGAATTCCCTCACGAAGCTAGTCACTAGTGAGCACATGTTGATTACTAGTATAGGGGCTGACGAGTCCCACAATAGGACGAAACGGCCGTCCAGTGCTTCCAGGTTTTCAATTGTGATGGTCTAACATTAATTGGTTCAAGATCTCAATCAAAAACTTAATAATCTCCACAACCCCTATACTAGTAATCAACATGTGCTCACTAGTGACTAGCTTCGTGAGGGAATTCTCGGAGTTCTAGTGAGAAGCCGTGACCAGTGGAGCTAATCCTTGTCGGGTAGAGACAGTTATCTACTTAGGTACAATGGAAGTTGGTCGCGCAATTTCGTGGATTGGTTGATGTTAGAAACTATCACCATTGGATGCCGGCTCAGTGGTCCAGTTGGTTAAGCGTTCGCGCGCGAGACCGAAGGCCCTGGGTTCGAATCCCGCTCGCGGGATCGTGGATGCGCACTGCTGACGAGTCCCACAATAGGACGAAACGGCCGTCCAGTGCTTCCAGGTTTTCAATTGTGATGGTCTAACATCAATTGGTTCAAGATCTCAATCAAAAACTTAATAATCTCCACAACCCCTATACTAGAAATAGAAGTCTATCGGAAGACACCATTGTAATTATTTTTAAGGCTTAGTCGTAATCTTGAGGGAACTGCTATGCTTTATGGGATTCGAAGTAGTCTAACTTTCTGAGAACCTGCCACTGATCTTCTTGGGCCGTCATTGACTCCCTGCAGAACTGAGGCATTTACACCAGTATTTTTGAATACGACATTACACTAATCCATGGTGCTAGTGATATTTTATTCATCGGGTTATAATTTAGCCATTAGTCTTATCAACGCAGATTCTCGTGTACCACGTTTCATATTAAAATGGTTACGTTTGAACGTCATCAACCATGACTTTTCCATCATACATTCTTTAATGAAAAGTCGTTATATTGATTTGTTCCACTTCAAACGGTGTTCGTCCAATTTCAATATTTTTATTTTGTTACAGTATCTTTTATGGATAACACTCGTCAACAGAAGTTGATTTTCCACTAGGAGATCTACTAGTTGAACTAGAATACGCAGGTGATACGGTTCTGCGTAGTTAAGTCGTTAATAAAGTGCAGTCTTCTGACCGCCTTGAGTAACAATTTAATCTTGTTCAATGTGGGATTCTCTTCCTCTTAATGCATAGTGTAGATTCAGCACTCTCCTGAATTAACTCATGAATTGACGACATTGCATGAAATAGTCGAGCATATCAACCGCCTCACTTATCTTGAAAGTCTCATCAGTCCTGATGACCTGGTACATGACGAAATCCCGGCGCAGATTTAGAAACTTCGGTTGACTTTGACCAACTTGTGGCACAGGTGGTATATCCGTCTACCAACCAAAGGACTAGTTTACTGTGTAGAAGTTTGCTCCATCCTAATTTATGGGCATGAATTGTAGCCATTAGGAATAGAGGATAGTGGTATTTTGCCAGTGTTTGATCGTAGGTGTTGTCAAAACCACTCGTGTATTCTTGAACTATGTAGTCGGTAATCCTACCGTTAAACATATGATGCTATGTAAATATAACAGGTCAGTTGATGATGTAGATCTTCATCACTTGAGGTACTTATTAAGTATGCCTAACTAACTCTTCCCTCAGCAGGGGATCTCTGGTGTAGGAAGTAGGCTGTACGCAAAAATAGGGTGGCAAAAACAAGACATAGCACCAGTCCATGAAGTTATTAACCGTTGGACTGAGCTGTGCAGATAAGTGTAGACAGTATGCTTGGGATCAGCGCAAATATCGAAACCAATTGTTAAATGACATGGATCCAAATCGTCCGCAAGTACACTGGTGTACCCATTCCTTATCTTTCTTCAGACTCTAGATTTCCAAATTCCTTACATATTTTTCTTATTTCACTGATTCATCTGTTCTTAGGTCATATCTTGGATGCTTAATCTTTCCTGTTATCACTGATACTTTTACTAATTTGGGATTTACCCCAACAATTACATCTCGCTGTGTTCATTGGTTATGGCATCCTGATCTGATGTACACACATACCTGGTACTACGTTGCGTCCGACTGATTGTACTTTAGCTGCTGACGTGTTTACCTGTATTCTGGAAGTAAAGATAAACCATAACCATTGACTGTTTTGAATTTGTGTTGGAATTCCCATTTCGATATCCTAGTTACCCTGACGTAATAGTCATTCTAAACCCTCATTTTTTTTATTTAATTTAGTCGGAACGTTAGACATTTGTTATGATTTATCATCATCATAAATGAATAGGAGTACTTTTTAAAGTTTCGGTGGAAGTATTTTTAATTGTTCAATTATTAAGTGATGTAGTACGTCACCACACTTGGAATTTCGAAATGAATTTTTAGGTTGGACTGTTTGCAGTTTTATAATAAACATCGTCCTTAACTAAGCTTGAACCAAAAGGCCGTACCATTTTCTGTAATAATCAAACGAACGCTCTGAGAAACAGCTTTCGGTTTGGTGGATAAACGTTATTCATCTTTCAGACCTTTATCACAATAGCTACTCAGAAATTAGATTTCGTACAAATATACGTTAAGAAACTGGTTGATAATTAATTATCTCATAATGCATAGTCGTCAATTAATTTTGACTGACTCAAAGCTACTATATCACCTTGATTACTTAAATTATATAGAGTGAAATTCAAAATGGTTAAAAGTTCTCCATGAATTTTGATTTAGAATGCTCTGTATATCTTGTTTGATTTCAGATAATTATGTTACGTTCAACTAATTTTGATTTTGGGATTTGTTCAATGAAACTTATCCTGAATAGTCATCTAATGTTTTAATAAGTTGATAAATATTATTTTAAGACTTCAACGTAGTCAATGTATTGTATGACCATACAAATATATTAAATACTTTTAGGAACAGTCACGACTATCAAAAGTAACATGAATACGTTCTCATGACCATATGAATTTGTGAATCACTGGTGCGAAATGAAGTAAATTATACTTTTAAAGTATGTAACATAGTATTTTAGTAACTTCCAGCTTACATGTGTGTTTCTTACGTAGGCTTTAAAGCTATCAGTCTTATCAAAGGAGATGCAGATGTGTATATTCACCCATCAACTACACGTCGATGGGATGTTTGTGCACCACAAGCAATCTTGGAATCTGTCGGTGGTCGTCTTACCGGACTGCATGGTTCTCCTCTTGAATTTGGCTCAAAATCTTCTCCAGGTATACAAAGCGAAATAGGCCTCTTCGCCGCTGCAGATCGTGTGTTGTATGATAGGTGGAATACCAAAATTTCCGATTTCTTTAAAACCTGAAGTTGAATCTCGTTTCCCTACATAATATCCGAAGTTGTTTCATATCTTTTATATTCGGGAAATTATGCGGTAAGCATCACCAATTGTAAAACATATTATCAACATTACACCAATATAATTCATCTGTTTTTCCAATCGACTCTTGTGTTTCACAACGATATACATTGCTACGATGATAGTTTGATACATATTTTCATAAAACAAATATATCTAATAAAATCCGTTCTCTTCTGCATTCCTCTTCTTATATACTAGAAAATGATGCATTCTTCTATATATGGATTTGTTGTCAAGCTATAGGCTTTATAAACTTTGTTAAAAGGAAACAAACAAGCTTGATCTATCCTTCCGAACTTTCTTATTTTGAAAATAAACAGCTTATGTCATGGAACTTGAAAATACATAACAACAAACGATTTTTAATGAAGTAACCGTAAGTAACAACGTTGTCTGAAGATCTCCAATGCAGCGGTCTCGCATATCAGGCTATAGCACTAAGTTCACAATCAGAACAAGTTTTCTTGAACTGGACTCTGACAGACAGTCGCTTTTGTGCTGTCCGACTAAACGGGACAAAACCTCGATAATATGAGGGCACACCGTTGCCTATGCCTACGCTTTGGATCAAGGAGAAGGTGAGTTTTATGGAAAGCATTCCGACCTCCAAAAAGCCAAACGCTTAGATATAGTCCGGTCATTATTTTACAATTTAAAACACTGTCCAGAGGAAGCTGCTGCAAGCACTGGAGTTTGGCCTCCAAAGAATTTAGAACCAGAACAAACCGGAGGTGGTAATACCAAACCTCGTGCTCTCCCCGCATGGCTTCGTGATGAATTAGAGAAATTGGAAAAGAAAAAAGCTAAAGAACTGGCCGCTGTATCTGGAGCTACTGGTTAGTCTAAATGTGTTTACAGTAGTGATGCTCAAGTTTTTGAATGCTTGAAACGATATAGAGTTTACACAGGGATAAGCTTTTACCTGCATTGTAGGTCAGACCTTTAAGTCAAAGGCTCGGGGTGTGGCCCCCTAAGAAAACCACCTGCTTCGGTCTGGGCACTTGGGCAGTATCATAGCCCACACACAAATAAAATGAAAATGACTATATTATTATTATTACTATTTATTTATTATTTATTTGAACACATAAATATTGGTACAAGAGAGCGCTCATATATATATATATATATATGCGCCACACAGAACAATGAGAATTCGAAGGGAAAGAAAAGAAAAGGTAACGAGCGTAGAAAAAAAGAGAACAATAACGAAAAGGTTGGTGCAAGGTAGTGTAGTGATAATAATAGTAATAATGAGGGGACGGAAAGGCATAATCAGAAGAAATCTTTCAGTTAAGGAAGATACAACCACTTTTTATGAAGAAAGTAAAAGAAGGTTACAGCAGGATCGCCACTGGCTTCTACTCTGAGCCATATCTGATAACGTCTCTAGCCACTGTGTAGCACCATGAACGACCGACAGAAGCCAGTCCTTCACAGCTTCCTTTCATACCACGACACCATGTCATGCACTGACCATTTCTCCGCTCCTTTCAACCCGTCCCGATAAAAAACCTACGCAATGGTCACCTAAGGTTATTGGTACGCATTGAGTATGTCCAACTACCGCTTCCTTCAACAGGGATGTCTGGTGTAGGAATAGACTGTGAGAGACCAGTGGGGGGTGAAAATAAGACACGGCACCAGTCCATGGAGTCATTGACCATTGGGCTGAGCTATGCAGATAAGTGTAGACAGCACGGTTGGAATCCGCGAATATCGAAACCAACTGTTAGAGACTTTGGTTGACATGGTCCAGAATCTTCGCAATAATGTAGGTGGATTCACTCATTTCCTAAAACCTGAGTCCTAAAATCTCGATACATTTTCTTTTTTCTATACCTGATCTTCTCAATTGCTACTCCCAGTACTTTGGGATTTGTCCTGAAATGATCTTATTGCAATGTGGTGATGCGGTCTGGTAAAGCAAACCGATAATGATGTGTCTACTATGTCGTGTAAAACCGGCTTCTTATTTAACAATTTAAGCATATAAAATCGGGCACCAAAAGTAGAGTGTCTCAAGGCTCCTGATCAGGCAGAAAAATCGAAGATCTCTAAATAACTTCTGGTTGGATGACTTTATTCTGAGTCACTGGAAGTAAAATGAAAGCCTGTCTGCCAAGAAATTGATCAAAGTTATCATAACTAGAAGATAAGAGCAAGCGTTGCCAATTACCCGAAAACAACCAGATTGTCCTCTTGTCCATCAAGTGAAACAAGTTTCGAGTGATGGAAAAGAAAGTAGTTGATATGAAATTAGTAGTACTTTACTTTACGTAGGTTGGTGCTATCTAATCTTGAACTCAATAGTAGATTAGTACTTCTCGATCTCAGTCAGTACAGAGTGGTACGTATAGGTGTGTGCAGTTTAATTATAAGCAGGTATAATTACCGGGACTCTGAATCTTCAATCTGACGGTTCATTCATGGAATTAAGGGATTTGGGCTACAATCCCTGTGGTAGTGTTGCACGATACTGCACTTGAATGCTAGATCTTAAGTTATGAATACATTGCCAAAACTCGGAAAGCTATATGGTGCAGTTAAGCGACGGATTAGCTTAAGGTAATGTTTCAATTATCTATATCCTCAACACAATTTAAATTGACTTACTCAATTAATTTGGTTAGTGAGTCAAGCTCTTTTGCGAGTTGATTAGGTCGGACTACGTACGCGTTCTAGATTGTCCAAAATATAGAGTCCGACAACAGCCATCTAAGAAATTGTGTCAGGGTTTCCGTTAGATTTATCCCAATTTAAGACAAAGGACTAGTGACTCGAGCTTCTTGTCATTATCAAAAAGCTGACATATCACCGTAAGCAATCAACGCGAATGAGTTCGTGCACAGTCCAGGCACTACCTGACAAGGTACGGAGCCACGTGCTCTTTGCCACAACGGTTGTACAAACGTCCAAAACCCCGAATAGACCCAGAGCATGCCATCATTAGAACTGTATATGCCGAAAACTGAGATGTCCCAAGCACAGTCTTCCGTAATCCCCACTTAGCCCTTGATACATATATGACACTGCACGGAGCCTCATCGGGAGGCGCCCCTGTTCCGATTGCTAGTTAAGGACCTAGTGTAGAGTTAGCAACCCCACCTCGAGAGGGAAATTTTAACTAAGGAGAAGGACACGCAGAAAAACCATCCACACCACTCAACCTGTACCCTGAGAATTGAAGGGTCTTAATATGGAACTTGTAACATTTCATGGTAAGAGCAGAGTGTTTGAGGACCATAGGCCCTATACCTCGTTTGGCAACTAGAGCAAAGGTAAATGTATACACTAAATGTACAGAGAATTTGGGAAGATCAATCAAACAGCGGCGGAAATGAAGTTAAAACCTGATTCTGCTTGGAATAGGTGGAACCTACTGAACACAATCTGGACGGAAAGGGATGGCTCGAGGAATTATCGTTGTATTTCGGTTACGATGAAGAAATTGCTCTATACAAGGAGTTGCATGTTTGCTCTTCAAAGAAGCACGGAAGGTGCTTACATGATGAGAAGTCCATGAGTGTTGATGTGTAGAACTAAGAGGACCTGGATCACAACTTAGTCTGGAAAATTTCCATTCACACAAATACTCTGATGAGTCTTAGGTTTACTGTCAACCCAAACTCTTGGTACTGTAACAAGATATCTACATAAACATCCGTTCCTGTACAAACTAGGGCACCTGCAGCCAACTAAACAACGGACAAAACTTATGTTTGCATAAATTAGTAGAAAATCATACATGACACTGTCGAATGACTACCTAACGCGAAGTCAAAACCCAAATAGCAGACAACTTAACCGGTTACATGATAGGGATCAATGGTTCAAACAACCTCCTTAGTGTCCATGCCTAATGTTCAACCATAGAATAACTGAGTCTACTTGCAATTCATAAAGCTGTACGCAACAAATGAAAAAGGTATGGTTGCCAGATTTATTGCAAATGACACGAACTGAGATCAGTTAATATATCAAATCAAGTGTACAGCCATCTCTATCAGGAGTTCGATATTGTGACAATATATGAAAAACCCGAATTCATGTACTACGGTATCCACAGAAAGACAACAAATGAATATGCAAAACTCGGCATTTTTGTGCAAAACGAAGCTTTATCACCCAGACCCCATTCTGTTGAACGCGTTGGCGGCATCTGTGGTTGGTGACAGTCACCACTTACAGTATATTCGGTCTTCTTGGTTTCTTGCAGGCGGAATATTCTCTGCTTTTCTTGGAACTGCATTTCCCATAAGGATATTATTAATTTTGAGTTGTGGCAACTGATGGTGTACGATAGGTTTTGATGTCACAAGTTTGTCGGGACTAGTCAGATGCATATTTCTGATACGACAGTATTGAGATGCTTTGTGTATTTCAGACACTTACATATCTATTCCTTGGCCAGTACTTAGGTATTGACAAACCATTTGTCATCGTTATGATTAGATTTTTTGACTGTGAACTGAATAAAAAACAGAAGCTTATAGAAGAGTTTTGTGGTCAGATTGGGATTACCAATTGTAGCGTGGCGTCGAGTTGAGATTAACTATGAACACCGCTACCAAGAAACACGTGCCAAGCGAATCAGAAGGCGTAAGAAACTCGTTCCAAATGACTCCATAAAATCCCCGAGAAGCCGAATACCAGAAGACAGTTAATGGACCAAGTCGAGGTTTATTAGCTGGCGATCTCGTGGCATCGAAAGGATACCGAGATCGTGCCAGGATACAACCTTGGTTACAGAAGGTAACCGAATTCGCGCGAAGTTACAATCAAAATGTAAGTGAAAGAATGGAAGCAGAAAATAGCTGTCATTAGCACAGTCAAACAAAAGCACATTAAAACAAACACTGGTACAGTTGGTTGTAATAATAATTGTTTTTATTAAACCAGTCGTGTTCTCCTGATAAACGTGAGTCACTACAGTTTGTAGGCCTAGTGAGACCTCTCTGAGTCCTGGCCAAATCATCCATTAATCTGAACCATTTCTAAGTCTGATCACAGAACTTCGAATAGTTTGTTGAAATTGTCAATGCTAAGAATGACTAGCGTAAGATAGTGAGCTTGCACGCCATGAATCGCCCCATTTACTTCTCTAATCCGTCCTATCTAATAAAGTAAATCACTTCAGTAAGACTCTACTTGTTTTGTGCAGTTGTAACAACCGAAGTTAGGTAGTAAAGAGTTGACTGGTAGTCTCTTATTGGAATCAAAACATTTGAGACATAAGTTGGTCATTTAATTTCGCATTTTATTTAAGTATGACACTTCTCATTTTGTTCTAATATGTATGATTAAATATTTGCGTTTTTAAACAGTC